TCCATGTCTTCTGACATGCTTTCAGTTTTCATTTTCTTTTTTGTGATACAAGGTTCCTCTAGAGATGAAATACACACACAGAAAAAGTGATAAAATTAGAAGAAAAGTTCTATAAGGAGTAAGTTTCTATTCTTGTAACATAAGCTTGTATTTGCTAGGATGTTCATGTTCTCTTAAATTTGTGTTAATTATTAATATATTAATATTAATTCCTTTTAAAAATTCCACTGAGGTAGATTATTGATCTGTTAGGCACTGACAAAAGTCTGGAGACAATAGTACAGTAAGGATAGATACCTTCTACATGTTTATGTTTGCGTTTCCTGACATTTGTTTCCTCTTCTATTTCATTTTGATGGCCATTTCCGTTCATTTCAAATTCATTCTCCAAGCTCTCCTTCTGTTTTTTGGACTTCTTATTCTTTTTTGCTTCTGAGCTCACAGGCTGATTTTCTAATTTCAGATCTTTTTTCTCCTTCTTATTGTTCTTTTGTCTCTCTTCTTTTCGTTCTTTCTTATTCTTTTTCCGCTCGGTTTTACCATCTGTAACTCCATTTTCTTCTGCCATTGTTTTTTGCCCACTTTCTGCAGACTGTACTCCATCCTGTTGTGGTTTGTCATGTTCTTTTTTACCTGACACCTTTTTTGAAAGACAGAGTATTACAGTTTTGACATGCCTTTATTGATAATTCAACTTTTCTCCACTACATCATTTCTGAAATACACCAATATCCTGAATCCAGCCAAGCTTATTACACAAGATAACACCAGTAGTAAACACTGTGGCTTGATTCTTCTAACTAATAACCTCACCATCACAGCAGAAATGTTATCTTGCAAAAATAATCTTTGACTTGGCTTAATTTGTTTTCCTATGTTTTATGGTACATGTTGCACTATGAAAATGGTGTACTTGTTGCATGGGTCCATGTTTAAATACTCCACTCTCAAGGCATTTAAAATACAGTATCAGAATTTCTAAGGGCACACAATCAACATGAATGCTAGAAAACATAAATGTGATGAGACAAAACATTATGTACTTCCTAAACTAAAACACTGTACTTAGCAGGCAAAGATACCATTCTGAAACACTGCTATTAACAATTAGTCACATTATCAGAATACAAGGAAGAAGGAATGTGCAGATTAAAGAAGAGTCTGTATAGTTTTTTAAGATATACTTGCTAAAATTAATCAAGTTACAGGCAATACAAAGCTTTGATTTCTGCAGATAAACATTTTTTTACTGCATTCCAGTCGTACAATGTTGTACCCCTAATTTAACTTACATCTCCAGTTGCCTCAGAAAAAATATCCCACACCTGATCTTGCAAAGTGCTGTCAGTAACTCTCAAACTGTTCTTCATCCAGTTCTGTGAAGGAAAAGAACACACTACCAATAACTTTAAAAAGTGTATCTCCTTTTCCTTTTTTTTTTTCCTCTTTTCTTCTTATTACCATATATTTAGCTCTTGAATTTAAGAATTTTGTTATTTTGCATGATGAAGACCCTGTTCGATGTTTATTCTCTACAAATCCCTTAAAACTCAATGCTAATTTGTGTTAGCATTTTGTATAGCATATTGTTAAAAGTCTATGCCATGCCTGTCAATTGCCTCACCAACAATAATCCAGATAAGATCAATATACAGAAAATGATATCCTCAAGCTTTTGAACAGAGCTGGTTGTATGTATGCCCTACTAAAACTTTTGACTGTTTATATGAGCTAAAATATTAAAGGTCTGTTCTTGTTTGTTTCACTAGAGACAAATAATCCTTTAGGGATACCTGGGAAGGTTGCACTGGTAAACTGGAATAATGGACTGCAAAAACTTTTGATCTTTCAATGCAACATCTTACCAAAAAGAAAAAAAATTCTAGAAAATTTCCCTTGCTTAGAATGTTTTTGTCAATTTTGTCCAACTAGTCTAACCTTCTAGCTAGCTCTCTGGTAGCAAGTTCACATCAGTTTTATTACATCCTATCTGAATCACTTAGAAGCAATCATTATTTTCTCTCAGCTTTACAAATTGAGACACAAAAAGAGGTGGAGAAGAGGTCAACTTGTATTTCTTCACAGACACCACATAAAGCATTTGGAGTCTGCTGTGGTTGGGAAGCACTTCAGTTAAGCACCCTGTGTGGGAGAGGGACTCAGAACACTAATCAACAGGAAAACTCCCTATATCAAACAGTTTCTTGCATCTCCCAGGCAAAACCTAAGCCACAGACATTAAAATTCTTTGCAAATATGTCTAAGAATATGGACATTCAAAAGCAATTGCAAAAAGAAAAAAGGAAGTATTAAAAAAGAACAAGCCTACACATCCAACCTTAATCCCTTAGTCTGGGAATCATCTTTGTGAGTCCCTGGCCTAATAACTAATTAAAATTGCATTTAGATAAATTGCATTTAGACACCTTTTATGAAAGGAGAAATAATTTACAAACATCTCCTATTTGAAAGTTGGACATTACAGCATCCACTTCCTGATGCTCAAAATAAAACAATTTGTCCCAACTTTCTTAAAAGAGAGAGACACTAGGAAAGTCAATTTTTAAGTTCACTTCACGAATTACTACAAAGCTCTTAAAACATACCTGGAATTTTACTTTTTTTCTTGGAATATTACCAAAGGAACGCATTTGCTCCAAAACGTTCCGCACTTTAGGGTTTATATTGGGTTTCTTCATTACTTCATGAATTTTCTGAACGAAGAAAACCAGGATGAAATCAGTGAAGAAGCATAATGATCAAAAGACGCATGCAAGGGATGAAAGCTGGAAACACACTGGACAAAAATTACCCACAGACTGTATAGGCCAACTGAAATCATTCAATAAGCTTGAGAATAAACACTATCCCATAGTTTTATCATAAGCATCAGTTACCTGTATAAATACTTATACTATGATACTGAGCAGAGGCAAGCAGGACTGCTCATTGATACTTTCTGTTGTACAAGTTACACTTGAAATTAAAGTAACCACATCATAAAGGGGAGCCCTGCACTCTGAAAAGTGCTTTCATTAAAAAAATGAACTCTCAACTGACTGTTTTTTGCAAACTTCTGCAAACATTTTTACTTCTGGAATTAACTGTGAAAAACAAGCCATCTTTGAGGCCACAGTTGACATGCGTTTCTTCTGGCAGCAGTGCCTGCTTCAGTAAAAACGATCAAGTCAATTCTTCAAGAGTTACTTATATCAGTATACAGTATAGACATTACCTGAAGCCACTCCTGTTGTTTAGCATCTCCTTTACTAGTTTTGGCTTCAAAATCTTTTCCACCATACTTCTCATCTTCAGTTACGCACTTCACGTGGTCCTTATAGTCATCACCCCTGAACACAAATTTTCAAGTATAGTTCACTAAAATGTTCAATCCTCCAAACAGACTCAGTAATCAATAAATCGAAGTAACAGCATCTATTGTTTATGCCTCAATACTGCTAACTCTTGTATGATAGAAGTTCAACATGGTTAAAGTACCTGCTTGTAAGACTGCTTACATCAAATGTGGTTACACTACTGCAGTAATGCAGTTCTAATCAATGCGTGTGGACCCTCAAAAAGAAATGAATAACAACAATTTTGTTGTCGACAAAGTACTGAGAGAGATAAACAGAAGCTGTGGATGCTCCATCCCTGGAGGTGTTCAAGGCCAGGTTGGATGGGACCCTGTGCAACCTGATGTGGTGCCTGATCTAGCAGCTGGCAACCTTGCCCATGGCAGGGGGGGCTGGAACTGGATGATCTTTATGGTCTCTTCCAACCTAAGCCAACTGTGATTACCTGAGGATGAGCTTACTTTTTTAATGCAAATTCATATTCATATTTAAAAAGCAGATAGTAGCACTGCTGTCTTCTGAGTTATAAGAAGTGGCAAATTCACAATTTTGGATGTTACTGCCAACCTCACATAACCTCTGGCAATGTCCAGAAGTAGCATTTAGTCTGCAGACCTGGTCTTAATGTATGTACTCAGTACCGATGACACCTTTATCTACTGCTGATGGCCTTCTCAGCAACAACACTGATCCTATCTGACACTTGTCAGTCTGACACTGATGTCCAGTCCGTCCAATACTAGTCCAATTTGGCCTAGTATTAAATGGGGACGTTGATGGCCCTGCATGTGGCAGGGGGGTTGAAGATTCATGATCCTTGAGGTCCCTTCCAACCCTGGCCATTCTTTGATTCTGTGATTCGGGCCAGGTGAGATCACGGGAGGTGCACAAAGATGCTCTGGACAAGTGAGTGTAGTGCCACACATCTTCCTGCCAGTACAGGAGAACCTCCAAGCTTTCATTCGCACTTGGATGATTGAGCCTGAAACAAACCTGTGTGCTTTTTAAGGATAAATCTGAATTATTCAGAAACTGCCAAACTCTCATGCACTGTAGGAAAACCTTTGATGTGTGACAACCACTGAGGAGCAAACAAGGCTGCTTTGCCATTATTTACCTACCAGAAATCCTTGCCACAGTCCATGCAAGAGAGGCACTCACAGTGTCTGCAAATGTTCACGTGCTTTTCAACCTGCGCTTTCTTCACGGATTCCCCGCATGCGTTACACGTGAAGACGACCATGGCGGTGAGGGTCAGCAGCTGCTACGAGGTGGGGCCGATCTCTTTCCTCCCCACACAGCACAGCCCTGGCGACACAAGATCCCCGCTGCCACCGCTTGCAAGAAGCACTGCAGCTCTTATTTCCCCCGTTTAACAGCCTCGCAGTTCGGCTTTCCCCTACACCCTCCCTTTCCTGCTGCCCCCTCCCAGCGCCAGCTCAGGGAGTCTCCTCAGCGGCACCGCCGCGTCTCCGAGACCTTTCCTCCCCCCACTGCCTTCGCTTTGCGGGCTACGATCCCCGGCCGCACTCCCTCTCACCGCAACCGCCGCCTCCAACTGCTGGCCGGCACCACACGTGCGCCCGCCACCCTGCTCCCGCCTCGGCCGCCGCTCTGCGCATGCGCCACCTCCGGAACGGCAGCGGGAGCGGAAGCGGAAGCGGAAGGAGCGGTACCGGAAGCGGCGGGCGGAGGTTGAGCGTGGGGTTGGCGCTGGGATGGAGCTGCGAGGTGACCGCAGCCGGTAAGCGCTGGGCTGAGCAGGGCCGGCTCCTTCCCTCGGTCGTCTGTTAAGCCGTGCCGCGCTCCGCTGTCTCCCCAGCCTGTTCCCTTCTGTGCCTGCCTCGTTCTTCGCTGTCCCTCTGTCACCTTCCGCCCTTCCCCTGTTCCGCGCTTAGGGGATCCTGAAGGTCTGAGGGGATCCTGAAGCCTCGATTTGCGCGTAAATAGCGGCTGTGGGGCTGGGGCTGCTCTTGCTTGTGAGTAGCTCGACGTGGGTGCCCTTCTTCACGGACACCGGGGCGTCTGGCTGCTAAGGAGGCCCGAATTCGTGGGTTGCTAACGGCTTTGTGAAGCCTCCGGGGGGGGGAGACAAGCAAAAGGTGCGGCTAGCTTATTTTAAAGCCTGGTAAAAGACAAGGTGAAGTAGGGGGATAAAAATGTACATTGCAGTACCACTTTGATATGCTAGGAGGAAAGGAAACGTGTGGTAAGTTTAAGTTCTTTACAGAGAGAGCGGTGAGGTGCTGGAACAGGCTGCCCAGAGAGGTTGTGGATGCCCCATCCCTAGAGGTGTTCAAGGCCAGACTGGATGGGGTCCTGGGCAGCCTGGTCTGGTATTGAATGTGGAGGTTGGTGGCCCTGCCTGTGGCAGGGGGGTTGAAGATTTATGATCCTTGGGGTCCCTTCCAACCCTGGCCGTTCTGTGATTCTGTAACGGAGTACATTAAAATAGAGAACTATAGCCTGTCATCAGTATTGAAAATCGGGATAACTGTGCTCTTCTCACATTCAAGCATTGTGTTTTTTTCTGCTTCGTTTGTTAATTAAAAGACTACAACTTAACACTGTCCTAAGATTTTAAGTTTTCCATTTGTGTGTACCAGTACGTAAGGCTGGAGTTTCATCCTTTAAAAAAAAAAAAAAAAGTGTTGAACTCAAAGTGGATATATTGTGTGAGATTAATATCAGTTGCATTCTCTTCAACATGTTCAAAAAGTGACTTTTATGAGGCTTTGCATTTTGTTTAATAAAAGAGTTGCCATTCTAGCTTGTCTATTAAACCAGATTTGTGAGAAATGTGCTTAGCTGCAACAGCAGTGAATGTGCTACAAACAGTGCTGCTCCAGAGTTCTCTCTGCCCAGTTGAGATGATGAAATAAATGAGCTTGTCCTCTATAAATATTACTGTTTTATAGGTCTGATACTATTTTGACATATAATCTTGTTAAAGTTGTTGGCTTTGCATTTCCTGTGGATATAGAGATCAGTATATTTGCAGCACCGCTTGCACATTCTTGCAGAAGCTTTTTGTTGTAAGAGATACTTCATTAAAATCAATATTTTCCATAACTGCTGCTGTGTTTCTTCTGGTGAGTGATACTGTGATTGATTTTTTTAAACAGAGAAATATCTTCAGAGCTCACATGGCAAGTCTAAACTAGTGTTTCCTGTAGGAGATTAAAAAATGCTAAAAATGTTCTTCATGTTCTAAATTCATTTTGTGAGTTGATATTTAAAATTCATTTTAGCATTTTATTTTATTGTAGGTAATGTGACTTTCTAGCATGGACACTGTTGCTAGCCATAGTTGTCATCTACTCCAGCAGCTACACGAGCAGCGCATTCAGGGTCTTCTCTGTGACTGCATGTTGGTGGTGAAAGGTGTCTGCTTCAAAGCACACAAAAATGTGTTAGCTGCTTTTAGTCAGTATTTCAGGTATGTGGCAGAAATTTCTTCTGTTTAAAAAAAAAGTGAACTAAATGCTGTTTTTTGAGGTTTTACATGAGAAGTGGTTTAATTATGGTTTTTTTTCTGGTAGTTGCACACAAAGCAACTATTAGAGTGGAAGGTAAAAAGTTAAACTATTTGTCCAGAGATGAACCTACATCAAGCATTGTACCTAATTAAAAACAGTGATCATCCGAATTTAATTTTTGGGTATGCCTCATTAACTACTACAGTGTTTGAGTTTGGAAACTTTTTATTTTTTATTTGCTTACATTTATTTGCTTCATACAGGGGATTCTGGCATGAAATACTGCAGTCAGTATTTCAGCATGCAAAGGTAACTATTTACATGAAGAGTATTACTGAATGTGAGCTGAGCCAGACAGTTCATGTTATCCATTTCTGTTTGATGGTGTCCAAAACAAAATTTGATTACATAGGTAATATTGAACCTCTGCATAGAAGAAATTGTCAGAGAGACAGTACGTGTTTTAAAGTATGCAGGTAGCTAATGAAGCAACATCACTCCCTGTTTTTCTCCCCTCGCTATAGCCCACCCACTGTTGATCTCCCAGAGAAGATCCTTTCAAAATTGCTTTCAGTTTTGAACTCCCAGAGGAGATTCTTTCAAAACCCAAAACTGCTTTTCTTTAAGCCTCAACTGCCTTTTTGTGTAAGATTCACTGCTCATTGATGTTATGCCCATCTTTCAACAAAGCTAATTTGTGAGTTAACCCAAAACCATGATTTATACATCATCATTTTCTGGGGGAGTGTCAAGTTAGGGACTGGGGATTTTAATGGAAAGTGTGAAGGTCCTGGTTGAGGCAGAGCCAAGCTGGTCAGTCTAGGACTGGTTATGCATATGAAGAGCTGCAGCTTTGATGCTGTCTTGTGAATTCAGTTACTTTGAAGATAAAATTCAGTGTGTGATGCTGTTTTAGGCTCATATACATTTACTCTTTTTAAAATTTTTTTTCTTTTACTCAGTTCTCATTCAGTACCTGGTCATTCAGCACCAAATTTTTTTTGGTGTATGACAGAAAGGATTGAAAATAATGGAAAATAATTCTGTTTTGTTTACTATTATCATCCTCTTGTCTACTTGCATAAAAAGAACTAATGAACTGTCTTTAGTAAGGTTCACTGATGATGGTTGATAGATAAACTTGATTGTTAGAAGAGAGCAATTTTGCTGACTTTGGGGTCTATCTTATCCTTTTTACTGGCAAATTTCTCATGTCCTAATTGCTATGGTGGAAGGGAAAACACCATTCTGAGTCTGTAGACTGTTGCAAACAGTCCATAAATACATCCCTGCACCAAATATTTAAAGAGCATTGGGTAAGAATCTGCGAGTGTAGGATAAAAAGAGTCTGCTGCTTTAATTTTTACTTTAAGTGTAATAGTGTAGGGATAATAGTATGAAACAAATATTTGAGCAGTTATGAGAAGTTCATCTGCAAAACCACAACAAATTTGCTAAGACTACGTAGCACAAGTTTTTTATTCATACCAGACAGTCTGAGATGTTTGTGTGTGTGTGTATGTAATTTTTTTTCTTTTCCTACAAAAGTGTTGTGAATTATTTGTGTATTTGAACATCTGCCTTATTTTGTCAGGACCCTTTTTCAGAATTCTTCAGGCCAGAAGAATGATGTCTTTCATTTGGACATTAAAAATGTAGGTGGGATTGGCCAGATCTTGGACTTCATGTATACCTCCCATCTGGATCTTAGTCAGGACAATGTACAAGCTATGTTGGATATTGCGCAATGTCTTCAAGTGCAAAATGTGCTGAATATTTGCCACACCTTTTTAAAATCTTCTACAGCCATAGAGCAAACAACCAACATGCCTTGTAATAGTGTATTTTCCCTGCAGAATAGTTTGACTGCAGATACTAGTTGTACCAATGACAGTTATGGAACAAACTTGTTACAAGAATGTTCATCCGACACACAAGCTAGCAAAGTCTTGGCTGACCACCACTCTCATACATCACAGTCTGTTAATCTTCACACACCCTCAGGTGATTTACAGAAGCAGTCACACAACTCCTTAGATGGCAACTGCACAGAACTTCCATTTAAACAACCAAATTACTATTATAAACTGCGCAACTTTTATAGCAAACAGTTCTATAAGCAAAATGCTTGCTCTAATAATGAGAGAGTAGCAGAACAGTCCTTTTCTTACAATGCATCTACAGAAATAAACACAGTACAGAGTAATTCTTGTCCCGTCAGTCACCCTGAATGTATTCTGGAAACCTCTGAACATTTACCATCAAACTTTCTGGTTCAGCCCTTGAATGAAGCTGCTCCAGATCAAGATACAGAAAGCGTACTGTTGCAGCCCACCAAGCAGATGAGGCTGAAAAAGGCAGTACACCTCAAAAAGTTGAATTTTCTGAGATCTCAGAAATCTGCAGAGCAGCCCCCAGAGCCTAAAGGAGATGATAGTAGAATAACACAAGTAAATGAATCTGTAAATGAAAGTACCATGGGCGTGACGAATGTCAGAGTTGCTGAAGAAAAAGAAGCTGATGACTCAGTGAATTCTGAGAATTTTGAACAAACTGTCGACATTGAAAGATCTCAAGGTCCTTTGGAACAAGAAGGACAGTCACAGACTCTTCAGTCACAGAGGCAATATACTTGTGAATTATGTGGGAAGGCTTTCAAACATCCAAGCAATCTGGAGCTCCATAAAAGGTCTCATACAGGTACAGTTACCGATAACTTGGTCTGCAGACCAAATATTTGGATTGAGGAGAATGTCTTGTGTCTCTTGATTCAGAAATGTTGGTTTAGGGTATGCTTTCAAAGGTTTTGTTGTTTGTTTTTTTTTTTTTTAATGTTTATTTTCAGTGAATAATCATGTAGTAAATAAAGACTGGAAGTCTGAGTCTATTTTAGTTTAGAGTTTTTGTTGTATTGAAGATTCCTGCCTCATGCTTGTTTCTTGGGTTCTTTTTCAAGGAGTGTTGTGTGTTATTTTAATGGAAATGTCATTTTTGCCATTACTTCAAAAGAGTCAGGTTGTCTGGAAGTCCGGAAATCGTAAGGCAGATAACAACAAAAGTGAAGTAGAAGAAGATATTGTAAGAGTTCTAGGCAACGATAGTCCTTTCTTCATTATGATTTATTCATTGTAAAATAGAACTGATCAGAGCTTGGTAGTCATTTCTTTTTAACCTGTAAAATATATTATTTCATGATATTTATCTAGAAAGTAATACTCATGTAAACAAGTTACAGAATGAATGGAAATTTTGAAATTGCTTTGTTTTAAATACTTACTGGTAATATTATTTTTAAACATAACATAAATGTAAGTACATTTTTATTTTAGTGAAAAACAAGGCTGAGTCTAATTTTGAATTAACTAGTTTGTTCATTTGAATTAGCATACTGTATTTTATTTCTACAACTAGGAATGCTTTTTAAAAGGGATTTTAAAAGATACTGTAGCTAGTCAAGTAACACCATTGGTTCCACGTCCTTGAGATGGCATTATTCACAATGAGTACTGTAGAATACTTTTTGTCCTTCTCTTTCCCCATATTAAATACATAAATGCATCTCTCTAGATCTTGTCAGATAAACGTCTCTTTGCAAGTGAACATGGAAGGTATTGCTACCTTGACTGTAAATGAGTCCCTCTTAGCAGACACTAGTTGCTTTTATTAATTAATCCTGAGTATTATGAATTTAGTTATCCATGTGATTAATAGAAAAGAAAGTCAGAACCTGAAAATATGAACAGTTTCCATTGGTCTTTTGAAGTTTTTATTCAGTGTCTTTGAATGCATCTGCATGTGTGTAGTTACATGTACTAGTAATACTGTATTAATTTGTTCTCCCGTGAAACAGTTGCATGTGTTTTATCTCCATCCTCTCTTTCTTCGACTTGTATTTTGAATCTATTGTTGAATTTAAACTGACATTACCAAGTATATTTTAAAGTCTTACAAATTTCAGGAGAATAGGTAGTCAGATAGAAGATAGAGCATCTAGAGAAGTCCCAACTGAGGGAGAGACTCTGAAATTGGTAAAATGTGAGTTTTTGCTAGAGAATAAATGTGGGAGAGAGGCTGCAACTGTGAGAAATGTGTTATAATTTGCCCTTAGATATCTTAATCATTGGGAGGAGTCTAGATTTCATGAATCGTGGTGTCCATTAGTCTTCTTGATTGTTTTAAGAGTGTGTTGCTTGTACAATTGATTTGTGTTATTGTATGCTTCTGAGTCTGGTAAACCATATAAAATAATTTTAGAAGGTGTAAGATTAGCTTTGATCCTTGTGTAATGCATTGTAACTTAAATGTTAAGGGGATAGACTGGGTACTAAACTTTATAGGAATCACTTTGGGGTTCCTGATAGAAATGTTTTAAAATTTTTGTTTCTGTAGATACAGCTGCATATCAGTGAAGTAGAGTCTATTGGATTTGACTTGACTGAATGTTGTAATGTGTTTTAATTAGTGTGACTTCTGTGGTAGAACCTGTCTGGTTCCCTCTTAACACATTCCTTACCTACCTAGTAAAAAACAAACAAACAAAAAAAAAACAGTTATTAAAAAAAAACAAACATATTTTCAGACAATGTGTCATTTTTAAAAAGTGGAAAGAACTCATAGAAGGATTGAAAAAGCAGGGGCAGTTACCCTGTCATGGAATGCAGTATTGATCCCCAACCTTTTCATTCTGAGCTTTGCTTGAGCAAGTTGCCAATATTCCATGCCTAGTGGGTTATGCTCCTCACCTTAGGAACACTGCTGCTGTCTTTCTCCTGTGGAGCTCTGGTCTCACTGTTGTGCACTTTATAATTATTTCATCTTGCAGTGTTGAACAAGGAGGATATAACAGAAGATAAAAAACAGAAGTCAATTCAAGGGTTAAGAAGTCTCCTGGATGTTTGTTTAAGCATTGTCACAGTGCAGTTCAGTTACTTTCTTCCCTCCCTCCGAATTTCTCTACTGTTGTTGATCTATCAGTGGTCTTTGGGAAGATGAGTGTTTATCTCAGATAAGGTTTTTAGTTTGGAATTTAATGACAGACATAATGTCATACAATAGTTTAGGTTAGAAGAATTCTCCTAGAGGTTATCTAGTCCAAATGCTCTGCTCAAAGCAGGTGAAATTAGATTAGGTTGTTTTGCTCAAGACCATGTCTAGTCAAGTTTATAGTATCTTCACAGGCAGAGATTCCACAGCCTCTCCAGGAAAGCAGTCCCAGTGTTCACTACCCAATGGAGTAAAGAGTCTTATCCTGTATCTGATAATCTAACTTGTCTCTGTTGCCTTGTGTGTTATCATTTCAAGTATCTGGTTTCATCAGTCCTCCTATTAAATGATCATAGACAGCAGTAGGATTTCCTGTTTGCCTTCTTAAGGCTTCAGGTATGGTCTCAGCAGTGACAAGCAGAGGAGAATTATCTTCAACTTACTAGCTGTGCTCTCAGTAACACAGCCTAGGAAGCCATTATCAGTAATCTAGCATTGCTGCTAGAATTTGTTCTTGCAGTAGGTACCTGATATGCCTGGTTGTTTGGAGTTTTATGCAGGTGTAGAAATGTTCTCTGAAAATTGGCTGGGTGTTTCTTTAACAAACGGAACCTTTTTGTTCTATTTTTATCATGGGAAAAAGAAGACTACTAAGTTCGTTGAAGCAAAGAGTGTGTGCATCAGTACAGTCCTAGTGGAGCTGCATACAGACTACTACAATTATTTTGAGGAATTTGAGCCTTTGACTTCTACCTTAGCCCTTCCACTTTTTTTAGGGTGGATTTCTGTTCAGATAATAATCTTTGAGTCAACAGTAACTTTTTTTTTATATAGGTCATTTCTGCAGGAATCGCCACTAAAGTTTATTGTGTTCCATTCCAAATTATCTCAATGCTTTTATGGCTGTCAGAAGCCTTCCAGATTGCCAGAGTTCTGATCCCCTGTTGGTTTAATTTATATTTGATTTGTCAGTATCAGAATTTCTGGTCATTTGTATATTTAGAGTCGTAATAAAGTCAACACTCTCTGCTACTTACTGTTGAGTTACTGGTTTATTTTTTCCTATGTTTGGACAAAAACTCTCTTGAAACTTTTTCCATTCTTCAGTAAGTAGAAAAGATTGACTTAGATTAAGTTTTTCATGTAACTAGAAGACTGCTGCCTGTCTGTTAGGCCATATAACTATGTTCACTCTATGATTTTAAAATTTGAGGCAATTGCATTTGATCCTTGATGCTGAAATGGTATCACATGTATTTGGCAGCAGTGATGGCAAGTAGAACCTTGGTGCCTGGGTATTCCAGGTGGTACTTGTAACACTTCTGAGGATGGAGGAAGAATCACAGTGCAGAGAATATTTGGTGAAAAATAAGATTACAAGTGGCCAAGTGGTGTTCTTGAAAGTCTGGAGAATGCATATTAAAATACATAAATAAAAATTTATAGTCTGATTTTTTTTTTTTTGGTTCATCAGCAGGATGAAACAAAGTGTAAGATCTCTTTTTCCTTCTGGAAATACTTAAGGTTTTGCACAGTCACATTCTAGGTGGGACATCAAGTTATTTTCAAATACTGGAGTGGGCAGGTTCAAGGATAGAAGTTTTAGATGCACAAATTCAGACATATTACAGTTAATTATCATGTATTGCTGAAAGGCAAATAGACATTTAAGGTCAGTGAATGGCTGGCTATATGCTGATTGGAGGCGTATGGTACTCATTAAGCAGGGCAAACTGAATCCTCCCAAATTAGCTTCTCTATGTTCCGTATTCTTTTTTAAGAGAGGGCTTTTGCATGTACAAATGGAAGCACCGGTGCACTTTCCATAGCTTCTGCTGTTGTGGTAGAAACCTGACATCTGTTCTGTTCCTGACGGTGTGGTACTCCTTTCATCTGGACAAAAAGTATTAACAAAACAAACAAAAAAAAACAACAAAGCATTCCTATTCATATCGAAGCTCTTCTGTTTATTTTGAAATATAAATTCTGTTTCTGAGAAGCCTGCCTTAAAAAGCTTCATGGTAAATGCTGTTCTTCCTTCTTAAATTTCCCCTTAATTATACGGGTAAGTGTCCTTTGGGGGATATTTTTATTTTTGACATTAAACGCTTTAAAAGGAAGTGTACAAATTTGAAGCATTTGTATTCTGCTGCAGCTATTAGAAGTTCTATGTTCTGTTTCTTCTTTTAGGTGAAAAACCTTTTGAATGTAACATTTGTGGGAAACACTTCTCACAGGTGGGAATATTTTATATTATAGTACTTACACTTGAAAATTAAATGCATCCGTGTTCTGATTCTAAAAATAAACTTGGTTTTGTGTCTGTAGATTAGATACTTTTTGCTCAGACAGACTTGACTTTAGAGATAAAATATTTTAACATCTTATCTGAAAATAACATGTTAAGTGCTTTAGATGTCTTTGACACATTTTGTACCTTTGATTCTGTCTGCTCTCAGTAGATGCCTGGTATGTATTTTATCTTCAAATGAATGTTTATCTGTATGGAGCCACAGCCTATTTGAAATAGAGAGAATTTTCGTTCTCAGATTGTGCTGTTGCCTTATGTTTAGGAATTAGCTCTGAATAGCATTTTTGCATAAGTGTCTAGAAAACATGAAAATTTTGTATAATATGTTGTATTCACAGTGCAATTTTAATCTTTGTAAGTGACATAAATTAAGCAGATTTTTCTGAATTGTCTAGAAAAATGAGTGTATAAATTTGGGCTCCATTTTCTTCTATGAATAAGTACAGCACAGTCTATCTGAAGTTACAAAAGTCAGAATTTTTAAGAAAATTCTCATGAAATTCCCTACTTATACACAGGGCCTACGCTGTAGTTGTCTTAACTTGCCCTGCTATGCTTGTTTACTATTCTGAGTACAACTTATTTGTATTTCTAGAAATAAGTTGCCTAGTTGTCTTGTCCTTCAAAAATTTCCATTTCTTTTCTATTTTCTTATTTGGTATATTTATGCTGAACTGTGGGAGACAGAATATTATTATACCAAGATTGCATCATAATTATCAAATAACTTTGATCTTCCTTAGGGGTTTAAAGATTAGACTTATAGGGCCTTTAGCCTCCCACCCACATGTGCTTTGCTTCTCTGGCCCCTTTTGCAGCTGACCAGGGGGCTTCTTTGATCCCTGTATCTGATGCAGTTGCACAGTCTGGTCTGGAACTAAATATATACTGCATCCAGTGAGCAAGCTATTATCAAGATATTCTGAGCAAATCTGGGGCTGCTTGTTAGCCAGAAAAAAAATTACCTTTTCATTCATTTTGATGGCTGAGCAGCCACTCATTAAAAGAAAAAAGTGGTATTCGCAAATTTCTCTAAAAGCACTTCTGGCAAACGTGGTTTCCTGCACTGTAGATCTTTACTGTGCAGGAAGAGGGAATAAAAAACCTTCATATATGCAGTGTGTATGGCAGACTCTAAGGCAATATGCATTTTTCCTCATTAATTAAAACAAACAAAAACAAAAAAAGCAGAAATTTCTGCCTTTTAATTTAACGCTCTTATAGAACTTCCCTTTCTGTTATCATGCTTGTCTGAAGGTACACTCTGAAATCTGTGAACTTCCAGAGAATGAGCCATAGCATTCAGTCTGTGTATTGCACTTCCTGTCGTAAATAGGAGCTTGCATACTTCTGAGGTGCATGCTTCTGAATCATGCAAGTAAGCAAGACCAAAGTAAGATTTGAGGATGATTACTGTTTATCTTTTGCTGAAAAGGCCATCTCAGATCTTGTTCTCTGTTACAAACTTCTCAGCTTGTGGACACAGAAATAGTAATGCTTTTCTTATTTAAGCTCTCTGGGCTTTGGACACAGTGCAGTTGTTGTGTTTGGTATGCCAGGTCCTGTTTAATTAAGCTGAAATGATGTTCCATTTTGTGGAATGTGAAACAGAAACTGCAGAAAGCAGGGAAAATTAAAATGGCAACTCATAATGTGGAATAACCACAAATGATTTTTTGAGAGAAAGGGTTCTTTAGAATTTCCAAGCCTGCATCTTTCCCTACTAGTAAGCAACATGTTGCATTGTGGTCCTCCTCTTCCTCGTGATCCAGAATATCCTACTTACTTCCTCACTGCCTCCTGCAGAGCTCCTTTTGGGAGCTGATAGGCATCAGTTCCTTCTCTTTAAAAGCGTGCCACTTGCAAGTAGAGCAAGTCTAGTGTATCATCTCCAGTCTCTGAACTTATGAAGAATACTATGCAACCAAGAACAGTAAGATGATTATTCTAGACATTTTCTTTCACTGAAATCCTCACAAAAGTTCCCTTACATCTTTTCACTTGGATGGCATATTGTGCTTTAGCCAAGGTTGTATGCAGTCTTACAGGTTTAGGAAGAAGACAGGCTAATTTTTTTTTACTTTTTTGTATTGTCTTGGAGCAGTTAAGCTTGTGCCCTCATTAGCAAGAAGTGATGCAGCATTACAGTTAAGAAATAAATCTGCTTGCTGCTATCTGTTAAATATTTTTATTCTGAACCAAAAATGTCTCTACTGGAGGCATTTCAGAATAATTGTTGTGCTCCGTATTCAGACTCTCTTAATCTAGAATATCACATGCATTTGTTGTATTTTGTTAATAAAGGTTAAGGTTCTGTCTCTTGCATGCTACTTTCCAAAGCACCTCTGCAAAAAATCCTCAGTCTTCGCAGAGTACAAATTACTTCTTGGAGAAGTCAGTTTAATCCATTATCTCCTACAGAAATAGGTAACCAATGCCTCTCTGTTTCCATTTCAACATCTGCCTGAAAAACTTTGCACGGTTGAAGAAAGTTCTCTCAGTGTGTACATTCATTCTTTTACTGTTGTCTTGCATGTGTGTCTGCAGTATGTCTGTTCTGTATAACGTGAGCTGTGATTACAGTGATTGATTGTCAAAGGTAATTTATATCTAAAGAAGTAGGAAGAAATTCCTGAGGTTCACGTTTTTGTTGACTTGCTGTGACTGAGGAGGGTGTGTTAATCTTCACATTCCCATTTTTCTTTCTGATAGAAACATCCCTTTAATATACTTAGATAAAATGGACCCTGGAAGTATGCACGCTTTTTTTTTTTTAAACATCTGCAGCTCTTCTATGGAGATGAGCTGTATCTTGTTCTTTGAGCACTGGACTCTTGATAGTTTAACGACTCAGAAGCACTAAAAAAATAAGTTGGCATTAGTGACGTGGTTTTGTCAAATTGTCCTTAGCTGGCTTGCCAGCAGACTGGTGTGATGTTTACAGGACTGGGGGAGGAAAGATGTGTAATGAAAATTAATTAGCGGTAATCCTATTTGTTCATTTCTATACACCCTATTCCATTTTCTTCTAATGTGGGTAAATATGGCTTTGGAGCACTTAGCTCTTAACTCTTCTATGGATGGGAAAGTGTTTACTCCTTTTCTTTACCTCCTGCTAGGTGAATTTAGGCATCCTGTTATAACAGTATTTTGTTTGTAGCTCAGGGAAAATGAGACAAACATATTACTATTAAATTTTCTTCTTGATTGCAATCTTGTTAGTGTCATTTTTATTTATAGTTGGATCTGTTTTCCTGAATGTCAGATTCCAGACTCTTCTTCTCTGTTCATGTCAATATATAATTGCATACATAAGCAATTTGGACTAGAAGTACATGGTAATCTAAATCTACTGCTGGAGTTTCTACATGCCTTGTAGTCATAACTGTCTCAGAATTAGAAATAAAAAGCTTGTTTCATTGTTAACCTAATTGTCTTTTTTATCTGAATACACCAACAGGATAGTTGAAGTTAAATGTTAAATTACTGTTCCTTCAGGCAGGTAATCTCCAGACTCATTTACGTCGACATTCTGGTGAAAAGCCTTACATTTGTGAGATCTGTGGAAAAAGGTGAGTGGAATTGTTCATTCCGGTAAAGTTACCATGTTAAAACTTGTGTTTTCTTTAGTTATTGTGATAAAGTAAGGGCCAAGAACTAAAGCAGTGTGCTGCTAAATTTCATAAGAAGACATTGCATTTATATACTAAAATATGTAAGCCTCTTATTGCAGGTCTTGTTAATAAGAATGTCACTACATATATAGTCTGTGGCCTCATATAAATTTTTATGTTGGCATCTTTAGTTAAGGGTATATATACTGTTGTGTGTACTTTGAACAGTCTGATGCACAGTAAATTTTGCTTTTCTGTACCTTAACCTCAATTTCTGTTTTCATTACTTGATCATATCATTTCCTTTGTTATTCCGTTATATGAGACTTACACAGTATGGAACCTTGACAGATTTAAACAAAGTATTAAATATTTCTTCCTCCTGCTAACAGGAATTTAGGAATAGGAATGTTATTAGCACTTTAGACTATGTTAAGTGGAGGAAATTAATAACACTTATGGGGAAGACGTTTGGTTTTTTTCTTCTTTTCTTTTTTTTTTTTTTCCTAGCGTATATTTAAGTAGTCATTGCCAACTTCAAAATGTTAGTTTCAAATGTAATAATTTGGGCATCTGTGGTTTAGATTTTTTTCTTCAGAATATCCAATATTTATTATATTTGATTTCCATATAGTTGTGGTTATATTTAGGAGAATATAGGATCTTGTGAACCCAGTTACACAATTTATATATTCTGTTACAGATTTGCTGCTTCTGGTGATGTTCAGCGTCACATTATTATTCATTCTGGAGAAAAGCCTCATCTGTGTGATATCTGTGGCAGAGGTAGGTAAGAACCAAAGCTTCTGCCTCTTATGGTCTTTTGACTGAAATGTGAGAAGTCATTTTAGACTCTGTCTGTCGTATTTTTCTAGGATTCAGTAACTTCAGTAATTTAAAGGAGCACAAAAAGACTCATACGGCAGATAAAGTGTTCACCTGTGATGAATGTGGGAAGTCATTCAACATGCAACGAAAATTAGTAAAGCACAGAATCAGACATACTGGAGAGAGACCATACAGCTGTTCAGCATGTGGTAAGATTTACTGTGCATAGGCTTGGTGTATCTTAGTTTTTTAAATAAGTAACATTTACAGTGTCAGCAGAATAACAACTAAAAAATTGAAATACTACACTGCAAAAATTTCTAACAAAATCTTCTGTCTTGCATCTTTCATAATATATCTTCTGGTGTACTCAACGGTTCAACTGTTCAAAAGTGAATTTCAGTTGAAGAATGTGGAAAAGAAATAGGGAATCAACACACGTTTGCCATAGAAATACTGATACTGCCTGTTCATTTTCTAACTGAAAGCTTGGTTTGGCATCACTTGGCTATCAGTAGAACCTTCCTTCCTTCTTTCCTTCCTTCCTTCCTTCCTTCCTTTCTTTTTGCTGGTTAAATGCTGTTGAGATTTAACTGGAGTCAATCATAGAGCGATAGTAACATTTTGCTTCTTTGCTTCAACTTCTGTAATAAAATCAGAACTTGATCAAAGCCTCACACCAGAGAACATCCATTTTAAAAATCTACAAGGTAGATTTTACTTCCAAATGGTTTGAAAATAGCTCTTTAATCGGTGATTCATCCTAGTATAACGTGGTTCTGAGAAATGGCAATCTGTCTGTATCTCATGTATTACTTAGCATCCTGCAGGCTACTTACTTTTCTGCCTCTAAGTGCTATATTGATATAATTTCTTTCATGTTCTGAGGAATCAGCTTTAGAGGAAGGTACTTACCATATGATAATGTCTAACTGTGGTATGTTTTATTGGCAATGTCCTGAGGCAGCAACAGAAGCTGTAATTAATTACATCTTGCATCAAAAGGAGGAAATACAGACATGCAGGCTGTGAAAGAATAAACAAAACTTTGCTTTGCTAGTATTTAAGTGGATTTATTTTCCTCTTGTTTTCTAGTGGTCTTTTGATCGTTTTTCTGTTTTAGCCAGGTAATCTTTTGAGAGCAAGAAATACACTAAGAAGGTCTGATCAACTGTTATGAAATCATTCACAGAAGCAAAAAGTCCACATCTACTATTCCAGTAATTTGTAATCTTAACTTTTACTGCTTAATGGCTTTTCTGAAAAAAAGAAAGCAGTAGAATGAAAAGTATGCCAAAAACAGACTGCAATTTCAGTGAGCTTTCAGATAATACAATTGATTTTAATTGGTATCTGTCCATACAAAACAAAGTAATCTTTAACCTAGGTGAAATGAGAAAATCACAAAGAGGTATTAAGTTATTTTTATTCTTCCAAAGAACATGAGGTGTCTGAATCATATTCTGAAAATGAATGCTTCCTCATTCAGTTGTGCTTCTGCACTTTGCCTTGGTTCACCCCTGGTCTTTTTTTTTTTTTAATTACAATATGGTAATTGAGTTATTTGAACCTGTGGTTCTTAACACAGGCAAACAGTTTGCTATTTTATCATACTTTAATATTTACAGCAATTAAAAAATAGTTTTGATGCATTCTTTGTGTTAAAAAATGGACTGCTGCATTATGCTACCTCACAGTAAACAAAAAAGCTGACTTATGAGCATTTTAAGAATAGTTGCTCTCTAACGAATAAATCATTACTGTCTATGATGTAGTTCTAGCTGGAAGAATATAATTAGAAGCATACTGCTTTACCAGGCAGAGGACTCCTATTGATCTTCATTTTATGCTTTTTTCCCCACCACAAAGATTGAAACAGATTGAGAGTGCTCACGGTTTTCAAATATTAATGGATATTCCTTTCTCTGGAGACAAAAACTAAAGCACTGGAAGCATAAGACAGAAAATCAGTTCAGGGAGAAGAAACAAGTAATTGATTTGTAGAAACAGAAGAAACCCTAAATAAAAGTATGCAACTGGGATGTGCCATAACTCATCACTTGATACTTTCTCTAATTAGAGCTTGTTTATGTGCTTGTATTAAGAACAAAATCATAATGTTATCACTTCTGTCTTGTAGGGAAATGTTTTGCAGGCTCTGGTGACCTGCGTAGACATGTGCGGACACACACAGGAGAAAAGCCCTATACCTGTGAAACTTGTAACAAATGCTTCACTCGCTCTGCTGTTTTACGGCGGCACAAGAAAATGCATTGCAAAGCCACTGATGAAGGTCCAAACACACTAGATGAATTTACTCAAGGGATTGAAACTTCTGATCTTGACAAATCTCAGAGCTCTGACTCTTTTGGCCAAGAAATGTCTGTTACGTTGTTACCAGTGTCAGTTAAATTTCCCATTCGTCCAACTGCAGATTCAACTGAATTTGGCAGTTCTGCAGATTCTTACTGTAAGCTGCGATCAATGATTCAACATCATGACTCAGCAAACCAACAGAAATTGAATGTGGATTCAGCTAAACTCCAGAAAGCTCAGACACAGCAAACTCCACCACCATATGCTTATGCAGATGTAGATGGATCTTCTGCTGAAGAAACGTTAGAGTCTGATAGTATTTCCATGATTCGTTCCTCTATGGTTAGTTTGGACAGTCACTGTAGTGATCCACTAGGCAGTCGAACATCATCTGTTGCATACAAGAATACTGAAGGACCATTCTTCTCTAGCATGACCCTCTGGGGTTTAGCTATGAAGACTTTGCAGAATGAAAGTGAATTGGAACAGTGAAGGGTCAAATAACTAAATCAAAAATTTTTAAAGGCATTTCATGCAATAGATATGTCTCTATTATGATTACACTGTGGTGTAAAGAGGTCTGAGCTAGTTCTTCAACCCACTAGCTTGAGTACTGGTAGAAATCAAGGTACGTGCCCAGAATACAGCGTAGGCTGCCTTTACACTGCTGCTCAGTAAAGTTCAGTTATAGTTTTGAGGATCTTTCTTCTTCTGTGACTACATTATGTAGCTGATGTACTAAAATTTACTATTTAACTATTTCTTTAAACCTGATAATAGGGGAAAGGAGGGGCCAGTGTTTAATTTCGTTATAGGAGTGCAGTTCAACTGCAGGCCATCAGAATGATGTGAGAATATACGTAGGTTGCTCCGAAAGTAATGCCTCCTATTAATTACCATGAAAACTACAACAGATACAAAGAGCACAAGAACACTATGTGATAAAGAGAAAAAGTTCTCAGCTACAAAATACTTTTTTTTCTAGTATTAGCTGTGCATTTTTTCAAGCAATGAACAGAACCTGCATGTCATACTGAAAACAGTCTGCATGGATGTCTGGAGTATGGCCTGTCTTTCACATCACTGTTGCCACTGCTGAAATGCACCACTCACTCATTCACTGTGTTCGCATCCACTGTTTGGTCTCCATGTATGTTCAGCAAGTATTGATGAATGCAAATGGGCTTGATTTTTTTCCTCATGGAGGAAATCAGCAATGCACCTTCTCTTCATATGCACTTCCACGTCAGACACCATTTTGTCAGATTGTCCTTGTTCTCCCATCAGTCACATGGCAACAAAATGTAATGGAGTATTAGTGGGAAGATTCAACTTCTGCTGCTCTTCCACCATCCTTTGATGTCATAGGCTGATATCATAAAATAGGAAGCATTACTTTCAGAGCATCTCTTGTAGATGTGACAAATAGAAAATATTGAACAAATCCCTGGTGAACTTGGGTTTGAAAAGTGGTTTTCTTACCAGTAGGACCATTGGTTTACATGACTTGAGTATTGTGATATTAAAATTAAATGTTAAATATTATTTGTGATAGTGCAAAGTAACTGTATATCTAGAAACTTTATTTTTTTTACAATAAAATCTTTTTTAGTATTTTATAAACTATTTTGCATAGAAGATTATTTGTATGATGAAGATCAAGATCAGGAAATTCTAACTTAATTTGAATAAAGTGAAGATGTTTTACGTTATGTCTTAATTGCTCAGTGTGTTTCATCTTTTTATGAAAGCTTTTCAATAACATAATTTCATCTATTCTAAGTATCTTTACAGAGCTGATGGGAATATAAAATAAGTGCAATCAATGCACCAGTAAATTGCCCTGCATTTTGGTGAATTTGTGTAAAACATCTGCTAATTAATGGAATGAATAGATTGAATGAAAGATAAAAACTTTGCTTACAGGCCTTTTCTGCTTTGCTGCTTGTATTCATTTTCAGTACAGATCTTCTGCATTTTTTTTTCTGCTTGCCACTGCTAGTCTAACTTCTTCCAGTCTGTCAAGTTTTAGCATTGTGCTGTCAGGCTTTACAGTAAAACATTATTTAGATACTGCAGTTTCTGAAAAGAAAATATCCTTGTACTAACCTATTTTCTGAAGTTCATTCATAGGCTGGAAAGGCTGTTTGAAGTACATACCTGTCATTTCCTATAAGGAGTCTCAGTATTCACCACTAGCAAGACAGCTGTAAGTACTGTATCTCTAGCATTATGTGGGAGCACTGCAAGACTTCGGAGTTGCACTTGCATGAAAAATGGTCCAACATTTATTGGGACTACAAAATCACACAAATCCCAAACAGCTGGTTAAAAGTTTTGCTTGTGAGAGGAAGTAGTTTGTAGGCTGAAAAGTAGATTTTGTAGGCTGAAAAGTGTTTTTGCATCAGCTAAAAAGATCTGATATTGCCACTAATTTAATAACATCACAGTTGCTCTGCTGGGAAAAAAAAAAAAAAAGAGAAGTTTTTGTAAACCAATAGCTGGTACTTTCTACTAGTTAATATGTAATGTCTCATTTTTTCTGCTGTTAGGAAAGATGTTGTTAATGGTCAGCAGGGAAAACATAAAGATTCAAATATGTTATAATAGTTCTTGGTAGAGCAAAAATTAGTTTTTCTAGAGCAAGAATGTAGGCCATAGATGACTTACAGTGTACTGTTCTGTGGAAATTTAGAGCCTTGTAAATACAATATTTTTCAAAATTTTAAAGATCTTGCTACTTTTTATTCAGGAATACAAAAACTAGCTGTTCAATTTCCTGTTACCGTTATGCATTACAATTTATGCCTTCGCTTCCTTTCCTTGTGCTCCTTTTTTTTTTATATGTGCTTTCAACCTGAATCAAAGTAAGACAGGTGATACTGTTGGCCAGAGATAGCACCCTTATAAAGGGACAGAACGTTATACTTGGTATGTAAGTCTTGAAAAATAGTAATTTATTTCAATAATCATATTCTGAAAATACTTTAACTGTGTTAACAGACTGATTAAATTACACGCAGAGGCACTGGAGAGTATATTAAGGAATCTTGGTTTACCTTTCTTTTCCTGTAGTGCACGTATACTAGGAAACTAAAGTACACACATCTTTCCAGCCAGTGAAGTCAAAACAAAGAGAAATTCTCAATGCCAAATTTTAAAAATAGCAGGCTAACAGAATACAGTCCTACTTAGGACTAAGGGAATGTATGTATCTGAACCTTTAATTTTTCTCTTGTTCTTTTTGTTTATATTATTTCCTGTTTGAATGCCGTGGATTGTTGTGGAAATTTTTAGCATGCTGCTCAAAAATCCATGTATTATGATGACCAAATGTACTCACGCATGCTCTCACTCTTTTCCATGTGTCAGTGCCAGAGGCAAAATGTGGATATCTGCCAGTCACTAGACCTGTACTTCTCCCCTTGTCAGAAATTGTTTTTAGATTTACGTATCCCAGGAGAAATTAGAAATTTGATCCTGATCCCAGTGGGTTCTGTTGCTTGGCAAAGACTAATCTTGAATTTGCAAACCTTGTAACCTTTCAGTAACCTCTAGTTCTGGAACTCTTGTTTTGCTTTCTCTTGTGTTTTGATGGAGTCGATAGAGGAGATTTAAAACAGAAACTGTGTCACAACCTTTGTGCTCTTCTAGCAGTGTACTACTGTGTGTCTGCACACTTTGCTTTTGGAGAGACGTTCTTGCTGAAGACTGAACACCTTAAAATGAAAATGACATCTACTGTGCTGCTGTAAATGTGTAGATTAGACTGCTAGCCATCAAGTACTTATGGCTGAAAGGACAGTCATGCATGCAGGATAATCTCTCTTGCTTGGCAGCATTTCTATCTGTGAGTGCATCACACCAAAAACATTAACATTCTCAGACTTGCTACCAGATTGTGAATACTGTTTACAATTTGGGGTGTTTGATAAAACACCATTTTGCAATGTGGCATACCTACATGAGAAGAAAGCAGGAGAAAACAGCCTGTGTTGACTCTGCACAGCTGGGACTGAAAAAAGCAGGAATTGCAGTGACAGACAGGAGATAATGCAGGAACAATTCTTACTACTTAGCTAGTTGGCTTGAAAGAAAGGCTATGCAAGAGAGAGATCTCAAAAAATGATTAGTTGAGGGGGTCAGATGGAAAAGAATGAGTTTCTACATATGAAGTAAGAAGCTTTGGGTTAAGATGACCTGTCCCTGGAGCTGCTTTGCAGTGAGATCATCACTGCCTGACTTGTAAGAGGTGTATTTTGTATAGTAGTACATCATTCCAATTTAATATCATCTAGTGCTCCTCTCAGTGAAACTTCTCTAGAAGGTGACCTTGAAAGCGCAGCAACTACTATATCCTAACAATTTTCTTGCCAACCTGTAGATCACCAGTGAAGAGGATGTTTGAGAATAGCAAATGTGGTCTGATAGGCCTGATGCTGCCATAAAACCCACACAGCTGGAAAGCAGCAGCTACCCTGTGACTTTGAAGAACAGGTGGAAACCGTGCCACAGTTAGTGAGCCAATAGTATTCTACCACCAACAGATGCTTAGCCATAACTATTGCTCATAAATATCTATAGCCAGCATGCTGAGGGGTATGAATAAGCATCACTCAATTGGCTAGTTGCAAGCAGAGCTGAAGTGCCATTATTAGCAATGTAGAAGACATGCTACTTAAAATAATAATAATAATAATTTTTTTTTTTTTTTTGAAAGAGGATATTATCCAAATTGGTGTAGCATAATTGAATAACTACTAATTATTTATTAGAGTAGCTACCCTGCAGTCAGGTCATCTTGTGAATGAGAATCTTGGTGTTGGTGGGTTTTTGTTGTGGTGGTTTTTGCAGTTTGGGTTTGTTCAGTGCAGAGCTCTCTCTGTCATTTGACACCAGCACAGTATTTAAAAAGAAATGATAGTAGTGTTTAGAGCGTAAAGGTACTGTCGTGTTCTTCAGACAATTTAATTACACTCAAATCTCTTTAAAGCTTAACTTGTAGTTTTATTTGTGAGTATATTTTTAGTATGTACTTAGGAAAATGTTGCATCATATAATCAAGTGCAGATTTAGATAACTCCCCCTCGAAAACAACAACAACAACAAAAACCATCCTCTTCTGCTTATATTGTAACTTATCATTTAGTATTCTAAGACCTTTGTATAAGGAAGGAGAACTTCACTAGGAAGGACTTAGCATTTGTTTATGACCTGTTGCCACTGACCACGGGTAGTGTTCCTGATCTGAAACTTTATGTACATTCTCTCACATGCTTTTAAATCTGGCCTTCCTGGGTCTTGTTTTCAAAATGTAAGGCTGTTAGTTTCCTGAATTCAGACAGAGCTTTAGAATTGAGCGCTTGCGCTTTGTTTCTATAGCTTCTTCAGCAAGTCCAAATGGGCTTAAACTCCTGTTGATAATTTTAAAGGTAAGTAATTGCTACACATGAAGTCTTCCTAAAACAGCTAAGTGGCATATACAAGAGCAAGTCAAATTTAGGACAAAATAAGTGTGAAGCAAGTGGAACTGGCCCCATAGACCATTTACTTCTGGAATCTACATTTTTCTTTGCTTTCATTGTTATCCACTGTGGGTAGCTTCAGTCATATGTGGACAGCTGCATTCAGTTCCTGCTGCTTGCTTCATGCCCACTTACCCACCCCTCATAATCCAGAGCAGAGGTTAATATATTCAAGGCTCAGACAGGAAAAATGTAGAAGTGTATAGGTAAACAGATTTGCAACATTGTTGCAAAAATCTAAAAGAACGTCTCCAATGTCTGTTCTGGAGTATGAGCTAGAATGTGGGTATTAGCTTTGTTACTAAATGACTCTCTTGGCAAAAAACTTGCTGGAGAGGTGAAACAAACACAAGTGTAAATGGTCCTGCTTGTGCAGAAGGCTTGATACCATGTGAGCAAAAGTGACTTTTACAGACAGATTGAAGGAGGGAAACACGGTAGCATGGGAAATGTGCTAGTGAGAACTGAAAGGTCTTAGATACAGCTATTTTGTAACTTGGTATGCTAATGGTTTCAAAGTGACCCGTGTTCCACTGCACTGCAAATAGATGGCTTTGTATTGGTACATACGGGCTTGTGCTTTCTGGTCCACAGCCTTATTCATTAATCCTTACTGACATCTGTTATTGAATTTGCCTTCTCTGAACAGTTGGTTTTTTATCTCTATTATTAAATATCCATTCTTGCAAATAGATAAAAGTTATCTTTAAAACACAGCCTAGTGAAAATACAAGCTATTGAAACTCAGACATCCTTTTCTGTAAAGACAGTGCCTCTACTGTTTAAATATAGATTTAATTTTTTATTTTTATTTTTTTTTTGGTAGTTGATATTCACATGTGTGTCCAGATCTAACAACAGTTTTGTTCTCTTGGTGAGGGAATTTTTCCTGGAAGGTTACAAAAGCCCATTAATACAAGCACACAATGCAGTGCTGAGGAGCGTGCATGCATGAACTACAAGTCTGCCAGCTTTTTGTTAGGCTCTGCAGGGGGCAGTATAGTGAAATAAAGCCTTTCAGGCCCCTTTAATGTAGTTCTGACCTTCCACGCTATAATAAACAGATGACTGGAACCAGAAAGATAGGTCATTGTGATCGCAGTTAATATTTGTAAGGACCAAAGCAGCTCTCAGCCTTTGAGGTAGAAGGGAATCATCTTAAGTGTGAAAATGTATCATCACAAGAA